CCCGATTTTTCCCAACCACCCCGCGGCGCCGGGCCCCCGTCCTGAAGGGACGGCCCCCGCGCCCCCCCCTCCCCTCTCCTCTCCCCCTCCTCCCCCTCCCTCCTCCCTCCTCCTCCCTCCTCCCCCTCCCTCCTCCTCCCTCCCCCTCTCCTCTCCCCCTCCTCCCCCTCCCTCCTCCCTCCTCCCGTCACCCCTCTCACTTTGGCACACCCCTCACACGCTTCGTGGCCCCATCGGCAGCCCCACCGAAGGCCCACTTGCCAGCGTTCGCACGCGGTCACCGCACTCATTTTGGCACACCTCTCACACGCTTCGTGGCCCCATCAGGAGCTCTACCGAAGGCCCAAATGCCAGTGTTCGCATGCGGTCACCGCACCCAGTGTGGCACACCCATCACACGTTTCGTGGCCGCATAGGCGGCCCCACCGAAGGCCCAAATGCCAGCGCTCGCATGCGGTCACCGCACCCAGTGTGGCACACCCCTCACACGTTCAGTGGCCCCACCAGGAGCTCCACCGAAGGCCCAAATGCCATCGTTCGCATGCGGTCACCACACCAATTTTGGCACACCCTTCACACGCTTCGTGGCCGCATAGGCAGCCCCACCGAAGGCCCAAATGCCAGCGCTCGCATGCGGTCACCGCACCCATTTTGGAACTCCCCTCACACGTTTCGTGGCCCCATAGGGAGCCCCACCACAGGCCCAAATGACAGCGCTCGCAAGCGATCACCACACCCATTTTGGCACACCTCTCACACGCTTCGTGGCCCCATCAGGAGCTCTACCGAAGGCCCGAATGCCAGCGTTCGCATGCGGTCACCGCACCCAGTGTGGCACACCCCTCACACGTTTCGTGGCCGCATAGGCAGCCCCACCGAAGGTCCGAATGCCAGCTTTCGCATGCGGTCACCGCACCCAAATTGGCACACCCCTGACACGTTTCGTGGCCCCACAAGCAGCCATACCGAGGCCAAAATGCTAGCGTTCGCCTGCGGTCACCGCGCCCATTTTGGCACACCCTTCACACGTTTCGTGGCCCCATAGGGAGCCCCACCGAAGGCCCAAATGCCAGCTTTCGCATGCGGTCACCGCACCTATTTTGGCACACCCCTCACACGTTTCGTGGCCCCACCAGGAGCTCAACCGAAGGCCCAAATGCCAGCGTTCGCATGCGGTCACCGCACCCAGTGTGGCACACCCCTCACACGCTTCGTGGCCGCATAGGCGGCCCCACCGAAGGCCCAAATGCCATCGTTCGCATGCGGTCACCGCACCCAGTGTGGCACACCCCTCACACGTTTCGTGGCCGCATAGGCAGCCCCACCGAAGGTCCGAATGCCAGCTTTCGCATGCGGTCACCGCACCCATGCATACCCCTCACACGCTTCGTGTCCCCATAGGCAGCCCCCCCGAAGGCCCAAATGCCAGCGCTCGCACGCGGTCACCACACCCATTTTGGCACACCCCTTTCACGTTTTGTGGCCCCATGGGCAGCCCTACCGAAGGCCCAAATGCCAGCGTTCGCATGCGGTCACCGCACCCATTTTGGCACACCCCTCAAAAGCTTCGTTGCCCCATATGGAGCCCCACCGAAGGCCCAAATGCCAGCGTTCGCATGCGGTCACCGCACCTATTTTGGCACACCCCTCACACGCGTCGTGACACCATAGGGAGCCCCACCGAAGGCCCAAACGCCAGCGTTCGCATGCGGCCACCGCACCCATTTTGGCACACCCCTCACTCGTTCGGTGGCCCCATAGGGAGCCCCACCGAAGGCCCAAATGCCAGCGTTCGCCTGCGGTCACCGCGCCTATTTTGGCACACCCCTTTCACGTTTCGTGGCCCCATAGGCAGCCCCACCGAAGGCCCTTGTGCCACCGCCCGCATGCGTCACACTTTTCGCTGCCCCGTAGTGCGATCCGCCTAAAGCACCAGTGGCAGCGCCCACATGGCGGCCCCGCCCCACATCGGCACACCCTTCGCATGCTCCATTGCCCCATGAGGAGATCCCCCGAAGGCGATACCCGCAACGACGGTGCTCACAACTGCATCTGATCGGGCCCTTCGCCAGGATCATTGTTTTGGAGGGGGCAGCTTGTGGGTCGAAGCGAAACGTCGACCCCCCCCAGAAATCAGAAAGGACTGGAGACCCAAACCTCCTCGAGTCGTGATTTTTTCATGACGCTCGTTTTGCGTGATTTTTTTGCATTGTCTTGAATTTTTGTCTCATGTTTCATTGTCTTGATTTTTTCTCACTGACGGCGCCTTGACAGCCCTTGACAGCCCTTGATAATCCTCGACGCGCCATGACAACCCTTGAGAACCATTTGATGATGGCCCTCCTGGCAGCGGGCATCCTCGGCACGCCAGCGAGCCGCCGCCCTGGGGGCCATGGGGGCGGGCCGCGAGCTTTTTCTGCCCCGACGTGGCGCGGCCGGGGACACCTGCACCCGGAGGCGCCCAGCTCTGCACGAACGAGATGGGCACGGAAAGAACGGGCACTCCAGATCTCGTAAGAAAGGGAGGGGGGTCTCATTTCGGGGGGGGTCTCTTCCAGGCTGTCTTGGAGGGCCTGGGGGGTCTGGGGGCGATGTTTTGGAGGGTTCGCCCACGGGGGGGGGGTCTGGAATGGCTTGTCTTGGAGGGTCCAGACGCCCTCCCTTTTATTACGAAATTTGGAGTACAATGCTCAACAGCGGATCCTGTTCATTCTGAACAGGACTCGCTGTCCGCGCCGCCGCGGCCCGTGCCCGTTCGAGACAGGAGGCCGCCCGCCCAACAGCGGCCGCCGTTGGCTTGGGACAGCATTTGCTGTTGGGCACTGTACCCACTGTTTCCGTACCCGTTTCGGGCGTCCAAACCCTTGGACGCGCGCGGGCTCGGCGGCCGCTCAGGGCCGGTCGGGGCCGGCGGCGGCAAGATGCCTCACGCACCAGGGCAGGGTCATTTCTTGAAACGCCTGAAATGGGTACGGAAAGAATGGATACAATGCCCAACAGCAGTTCCTGTTCATTCTGAACAGGGCTCGCTGTCCGCGCCGCCGCGGCCCGTGCCCATTCGAGACAGGAGGCCGCCCGCCCAACAGCGGCCGCCGTTGGCTTGGGACAACACTTGTTGTTGGGCACTGTACCCACTCACCACCCACCAAACCACCCCAACCCAACCCGAAGTCCTCAAATTGACCTCCATTCCCAGTGGGGGGGGGTCGGGGAACATCGAGAAATTACATATGGAACCCGTACCCCCCCCAACCCGAAATTCGGGTCTTCGGGTTGGGTTGGGGTGGTCTAGTAGGTAGTCACCCATTTTTTCCGTACCCGTTCCGGGCGTCCAAACCCTTGGACGCGCGCGGGCTCGGCGGCCGCTCAGGGCCGGTCGGGGCCGGCGGCGGCAAGATGCCTCACGCACCAGGGCAGGGTCATGTCTTGAAACGCCTGAAATGGGTACGGAAAGAATGGATACAATGCCCAACAGCAGTTCCTGTTCATTCTGCACAGGGCTCGCTGTCCGCGCCGCCGCGGCCCGTGCCCATTCGAGACAGGAGGCCGCCCGCCCAACAGCGGCCGCCGTTGGCTTGGGACAACACTTGTTGTTGGGCACTGTACCCACTCACCACCCACCAAACCACCCCAACCCAACCCGAAGTCCTCAAATTGACCTCCATTTCCAGTGGGGGGGGGGGTCGGGGAACATCGAGAAAATACATATGGAACCCGTACCCCCCCCAACCCGAAATTCGGGTCTTCGGGTTGGGTTGGGGTGGTCTGGTAGGTAGTCACCCATTTTTTCCGTACCCGTTCCGGGCGTCCAAACCCTTGGACGCGCGCGGGCTCGGCGGCCGCTCAGGGCCGGTCGGGGCCGGCGGCGGCAAGATGCCTCACGCACCATGGGCAGGGTCACCTCGATCCGACCGGTGCGATGCGCTGCCGATTCTGCCCAGGCCGCTCGGATGCGATGCCGACGTCCCGACGATGGGGCGCGACCCAGCGATTGCACAGCACGGTCGCGAATCTCGGCCGCAGCCGAACCGACACGGTTTGGACTCTGTGCCGGTGCAGCCTGACACGGCGCTCATTTCGATCCGGTCCGAATTCGCTTGCTGATCCTGCCAGGGTGGGCCGCAGCTCGGTGCTCGTGCGGGTCGGCTGCGGCGGATGGACTTCGGATGCGTCAGGGGCATGCGGCCGCTCTTGGGCGAGTCGGGGCGTTCAGCTCGGAGAAGCAAGAGGAGGCTTGGTAACGATGCGATCCAGGATTTCCAGGTTTTCCTGTCGTCCCGCGTGGCTGGAAAGTCCGAGTTCGAGTGGCCGATGGCCGCTAGAAAGTCTGGAATTCCCCGAACGCATCTTGTGCCAATCGCATCGTGACATTGTTCTCGTCCTAGCAGCGGCGGCGGCCCCGATCAAGCGGCCATTCGGAGGCAGGCGGGGCAAGTGGTGGTCAACTGGAGCCCCGACGCGCCAGGGCAAGTGGCCACTCGGGGCTGGCTGGGGCCCGTGGCGTCCCGCACAATCGCCGATGCACCATGGCAATCGGGCATTCGGACATTCGTCGGGTCTGGTGGGGGCCAACGGATTTCCCAAGGCACCAGGGCAAGCAGACGCTCCGTTCTAAGACGACTGCGTGGCAGTCCATCGGAAGTTCGATCCCCCGGGGTGGTTGTAGATTCAGGCCCGGAGGAAAAGCTTGTCATCCGCTGGTTTGGGTTGTCGAATACGTAGGCAATCAGGCCGAAAACCATTGTTCCCCTGGCATACTGCTGGTAACGTGCTGCACGAGGTCTTGCTTCATCTGTAGGCGTCTCGTGTCCAAGCGACTCTGAGTGCAAGCCTCGCAGAGAGGCGCCCGTGCTGCGGCACGCCCCGGCGCGTGGAAGGGGGAGCGCCGCCCGCGCCAGGCAGTGAAGCTGACCATCTGGAACATGACGGACTACGACTGCCTCGTCTTCCTGGACGCGGACATGCTCCTGCTGGACTCCGTCGACGAGCTGTTCGCGCTGGACCCCGGGGGGGGGGGGGGGGGCGAGTGTGCAGCTCACCACTCACCAAACCACCCCAACCCAACCCGAAGGCTTCAATTTGCCCTCCATTTCCAGTGGGGGGGGGTCGGGGAACACCGAAAAAACACGTGGAACCCGAACCCCCTCCCAACCCGAAATTCGGGTCCAATTCGGGTTTTCGGGTTGGGTTGGGGTGGTTTGGTAAGTGGTCAGCAGCAGGAGGCAGGCCTGCAGAGAGAGGCGGGGCGCGCTTGCCCCTGCAGGGGTGGAGCGGCCCCTCCCGCGGGAGGAGAGCAGCGGGGAGAAGGCCTCCACGCGTGCCTTGCCAGCCTGGAGCATCTCCCTACCCCTGTGCTGGGCATCTCCTCGTCACGACGCCGATCTCAGGGACTCCCTTGTGTTTTGAGGGCGCACCCCTGAGATTGTCATCGCTTTTTGGGCGTGTCGATCTTAGGGATAGGGGTACGCTCGAGGCTGGCAAGTGCCTCCGAGCGCGAGGGCGCGAGCCTGGAAGCACTAGGACGTGTTCGCCCGCCGGCCTCCCGAAGGGGGCGGACGGGACCCGCCCGAGGGGCCCAGGCCTCCTCCTCCTCCTCCTCCTCCTCCTCCTCCTCCTCCTCCTCCTCCTCCTCCTCCTCCGGACACACAAACAAATACACGCACAGAGAACGAGATCCCCCATCTGTGTCCATATTTCCTGGGTTTCTGTCTCCCACCCCTCCCCCCCCCTACTACTTTCATCTTTCCCCATGTGTTCCCCTCCGGGGAGTCGGCATGAATTTGTGCCTGTGTGTGTTTTCCCCCCCCCCCCCCCTGAAGGACGAGAGTGGAGTCGTGATGCGATTGGCTCGGGATGCACTCCGGGACGTGCGGCGCGCCCGGCGGCCCTCGTCCTCTGGAGTCCGCGCGTGGAGCGGGGTAGCAGCTGGGCTCTCGCCCCCGGGACCTGCGACAGCGCACGGGCTGCGGCCCGCTGGTCACGACCTCGGCTGTGAGCCGGGCAGGGCCGGCGATGCAGATTCGCCTGCTGTGAGCGTCGCACCAGCACCCCCTGACTGCAGCCACCAACGCATGTGCTTCCGCGTAGTGGTGGCGGGCCTGCTCTTCATGTTCATCTTTGCCCTCGGGGTCCTGGGCAGGGTGAGGAAGAGCAAGCGAAATACATGCAAGGTTAAATTAAAAGAAGATGGTGCCGTGGTCCTCACCACGGCATCCTGTAAAACAGTTCAGGGAGAAGGAGGGGGAGAAGATGGCGCTGTGGTCGTCACCACGGTGCCCTGCAAGGTCGGGATGGCGCTGGAGGCCCTGGTCGTGGGCGGGGCGTGCCACTCCTGGAGCAGGCGGGCCACGTTCGTGGGCAGCTTGCGGTACATCAAGGTCAAGCCGCTGGCGGAGCGGACAGCCCATAAGAAGGTCCACAAGTGGAAGCGCCGGCTCAAGAGGCGCTCCAAGGGCATGGATGACCAGGCCCATCATCAAGCAGATCTTCATGATCAAGCTGTCCATGGAGCAGGGGCTCTGGGACTCCATGGTTGTGGAGAGTACGCCGAGGTGGATTTCCACGACTGCGAGGACGGCGGGTGGGATGGCCCGGAGGGAGCGCTGTGGGAGATCTACAGCGCCCCGGAGGCCAAGAACACCAAACAGGAGATCGAGGAGCATGTCGATGACACTGCGGACGTCGATGACACTTTCAACCACCAGCTGAACGTAGGTACGGGCTCCGAGTGCAAGACAGATGTCGATGACACTGCGGATGTCGATGGCGTTTTCGACCACCAGCTGGACGTAGGTACGGGCTCCGAGGACATGACTGAGGTCAATGACACTACGGATGCCAATGACATTTTCCTCCACCACGGGGCCGTCGACACGAACACCCAGGACATCGGGAAGGTTACGGAGGAGATCGGCGACGAGGAGGAGCCAGGAGGTACACATCATAATTCACCAGCTCGTCAACGAGAGGATCACCATACAGGCCCGGGTGACTTTCGAGAAGACGGGGATTTTGGAACGAGGGAGCTGCCAGTACAGCATTTTTAGCGGCATCCAGCCCTGCGAGGCGGAGGAGCGCCGTCGAACTCGATGGACACGTTCCTCAAGGCGCTGAGCGGCCTCATGCAGAGCTATTCCGAAGCGGGTAGTGCAGGAGCGGGGACAACGCCGGCGAGGCCGGGGGGGAGGTGGAGGACGCGCAGACAGCAGCAGAAGCAGGAGGGCCTGGACGAGCTCATCGCCCAGCTCCGCAAGATGCTGGACGACGCGGCCAAGGCAAAGTGGACCATGGAGAGGCTCGTGAATGGGCTGACCGAGACGGTCGCGCAGGCCAAGCAAAAGCAGGCGCAGCCAGCGGGAGCCCAAGCGCAGCAGGAGCCCCGAGGCAAGGCCGCGGGCAAAGGGAAAGGCGACAGCAGGAGGCAGGAGGAGAAGCCACCAGCAGCGCAGCCAGGAGCGCCAAGAGGCGGGCGCTGGGCTAGAGGCAAAGGGAGAGGCAAGGAGGGACAGACAGAGGAGGAGGAGACCAGAGGAGGCAGAGGTCAAGGAAAGGAGGAAAGAAAGCATGAGGAGGAGGAGGCGCCGAGGCTGAGCAGGATGGCTTGGACCAAAGGCCAGGTGCTGCTGGGACCCAAGGCCTTCGAAGCGCTGCTGGATGCCGAGGACCCGGCGCAGGCGGCGAACAAGGTGAAGGCTATCGTGGCCAAGCCGGGCCAGGTAAACGAGATCCTCGACCTCGCGAGGTCTTACGCTATCACTCACAAGATCGGCGTGGTCTTTGCCAAGGAGGTGGACGGGGTCAAGAGCCAGCTCAAGTGGCTCCGCTTGGAGGGACAGGCAGGGCGTGGAGATAAGCTCAAGAGTCTGCACGTTGCCCCGGTAGCTGCGGCCGGACTTCCGCCGGAGCTCGCCGGAGAGACGGTCAAGGCCTCCAAGGGGTCGAAGGCGGCGGAGGACGCGGCTGTCAAGGAGACGACGGTCATGCGCATCACCATGGTGAAGAAGTACATGACCGACTCGGCGTGGAGGGCGAGCCCGGTTACATCGCTTCACTCGTTGTGGAAGGCGGACGGCATCATCCGCACATACGGGTATCGTCTCCACGAGGCGGGCGACGACATCTGCCGCTCCTGCTTCGCGACGGTGCAGGAGGACAAGGTTCTGGACCTCCTGAGGCAATCAGGAAGTGGAGGTATATTTTCTGAGCGGCTTGTTTGCCAAGCGGGCCGTGCAGCGGTCGATTGGAAGCCTTGGGAAGATGGTGAGACAGACATCGAATATTTGGAAAGACTGCTGCGGCGCGGTGGCACTCAGCATGGCCTGGCTTTCCGCCGCGGGGGCAAACAGCAGCTTGGGTGGCGAGAGCCTTCGGGCACCGCGCCTCGCAGGCCAGATCGCGCAGTGCCGTGGGAAATCACAGGTACTCCGGCTAGCTGGGGGGCCAACGACGTGAGCACGTACTTCACGGAGAACGATTGGACTGAAGTATCCTTGATACGTCCCCGTTTCAGGAATAAAGGGTGGATATTCCGCATGAAAGCTCCCGCTGAAGTTCGGGACACAGTGTGTGGCAGATCCACAACCACACCATCACGGTGGTGCGCGACACCTGGCAGCAGAAGGGCATGACCACGAAGATGATCAACCCGCGGCCCGGCGTCGTCAGGCAGGACCTCCACGAGCAGGAAAAGGAGCGCAAGGCCAAGGCGGACGCAGCGAAGCCGCGGGCGAAAGCAGCAGCTGAGGAGGAGGAGGAGGAGGATGAGGAGGAAGAGGGCGAAGCCATGAAGGAGGAGACGCCGGCAGCAGGGAAGGCAGAGGAGAAGGCAGAGGACAAGACCACTCCACCTGAAGTGGGTGAGAAGAGGCCGGGTGAGCAAGGCGGCCAAGCAAAGAAGACGAAATGCATCAACGTCTACGGCTACCAGGGCTGGGATCTGGGCGGGAAGGGCGACTGCCTGTACCGCGCTGCGGCTGCCTCTGCCGCGGCCCTGGAAGGCCGGAAAAAGGAAGACATCGAAAAGAACATCGCGTCTCTGGGCAAGAAGATCCGGGCAGAGACCACGGGCCTCATCCGCAAGCACAGCTTGTTCAAGGGCGTCTGGGTGGCGGATCCCAACGCGTCGGTTCGCTGGGAAGGCGGGCCCATCCCCGCCACCTACCAGGAGTGGGTGGACGCAACTGCCCGGGAAGGCCGCTACGCATGTGAGCATACGGCGGCGGTGCTGGCCTTGCGGCTTGAAAGACGCCTTGTCGTATTCTACTGGCACCAAGGCAAATGGGTGAAGGGCTGGGTGATCAGCCCACCCGAGGGGGCGGGCAACGCCGCCATAGAGAAGAAGCGGTCTAAAGCAATGGGCCGTGCGCCAATACCAGTGGCCCTCAAGGACGAGCACTACGTCGCCCTGCACTTGAAAGACGGGCAGAAGGAGTGGCCGCTGGAGTGGGCCGACCCCCCGGAGGAGGACTTCGCGACGCAGCTGCTCCGAGGTGCAGGCCACGGAGAAGACGAGGAGGACGAGGAGGTTGCAGGATGGCTGCAGCCAGGCAGCGACTCTGAGGAGGAGGAGGCAGAGGCACAAGCTGAAGCCGAAGGAAAAGAGGAAGACAAAGAGGAGGACGAAGATAAGGGAAGAAGAGGCGAGGAGGAGGACGAGGAGGAGAGAGGCAAAGAGCAGCAGGAGGAGGCTCATGAGGCAGAGCAGGAGGAGGCGGCGAGCCTGGGCAGCTGGCTCCGCAGCACAGCCGCCGGCTCCACAGCAGGAGGCGTGGCCGCCACTGGGTCGTGCTGGGACTCGGTGAGCGTCGCCGCCCACGGTGGCAAACGCCGGCGCCTCCGCGGCAAGCAGACGGCGCCGACGCCTCCCGCCCTCGCGGGCCCGCCGCCGGGCTGGGACGAGCCCCCTCCGGCCCCCCACGCCGCGCCGAGGCCGCTGGTCAGGGGCAGCGCCGAGTGGGTAGAGCACAAGAAGTATGTGAAGCGGTCGTACTACCAGAGACAG